AAACCCCCACACCTCCTCCCCCACTGCCCCAGGTACGCGCGCCAAGAAGAAGAAGCAGAAGCCCGGGCCAACGAGCATCCGATCCGCGTAGTCCGGCACAGCGCGGGGACGCTGTACAACATACACTGGAGACGCATGGTGGAGAAGGTTAGGCACTCTTGCAGGATGCAGGACCCCTTCTTCACCTACAGACGGAGGGACTTCATTCCCTGACCGGCGGCTTCAGCAACAGCAGCAGCAGCAGCTACTACAATAAAGACAACAACAACAGCAGTAAAGACAGCAGTAGCATCAGCAGCAAGAACAGGAACAATAACAACTACAGCAGCAGCAACAAAAAAACTCAGCAACAACAACATCAGCTGCAACATCAACAAAGACAGCAACAACAACAGCACCAACAACAGCAACAACAACAGCAACAACTTTCTACTTGAGGTGTCATCTGTCCCCAGCAGGATTCGATTAAAATTAGAAAAAAAAACCCAGCTTTGTTTGATTAAGTTCATTTAGAGCTATTGTAGATGAGAACGTCTGATGATGATGCGTCTGGTTTATGAAGATCTTAACGAACATGTGACCCCCCCCCCCCTCAGGGCAGTGCTACCGACTGAAGTTGTCTTTAAGCCATTCCCGAAAGGGGGATATTAACAATGTTCTTAAGTGCTGTAGAATTGTTAATGGGCTGATTTATCAATGTCATGCTCATACTGTGCCGGAACAAAATAGGGGGAAATGCTGCTTTTTCTTTCCTCATCCTTACAACGTCATTTTTCCTCTACTTCTTTTGTATGTTTGTCACACTCATAAGAATTGCTATTTCCGGGGTGTCTTTATGGTCGAAGCAGACTTAATGCTGTTGAGGCTAAAGAAGTGAGCTGAATAGACCTGATTCCCCGTTTGAACTTCTCTGTTGACATCCACCCCTTGGCGCTTATATGTCCTTTTGCAGTTGCGAGCGCCGTAAAACTTTACTAAAACAAACAAAACATGTGAGAAAACTCAGGTATCTGGTCAGGCCAATCGCCACCTTTAAGTAGATCAGGCAGAATTGGACATACAAAAATAGCACACGGGGGCACTGGCTTTTAGTCTTTACCTTCGCTCTACCTAAGCCCCTAATACCCAGTGCCTTTTGTTGGAACGATCGGGTCGGGTCCGTTTGCTAGCCAGACTGAGGGCACCAAACGGCTTGGCATATCGTAGCACTGGCGCTCATATGACTTTATGCAGTTGCGAGCGCCGTAAAACCTCTACAAAAACTAAAACAATATCGTAGCACAAACCGATCGCCCGACTCGTCACCTAAAAAACAAACGCGTTTGTTCTCAGTCGACGAGTCGGGCAATCGGTTGGCGATTGATTTGTCGATTCACTAAGGGGACTTCGTACAAAGTGCGTTGCGGACCCAATCTGTCCGCTCAGCAGAAGACCACAGACAAGGGTTAGTGGCAAAACAAACAAGCCTATCCTTGGGCCTTCCCCTTATTTTGGACTTCTTCTTCTTCTTCTTCTTCTTCTTCTTCTTCTTCTTCTTCTTCTTCTTCTATCCCGTGGTTGGGGCAACCGTGGGGGCACCACTGCATCTGCTGACAACCAGCTCCCGCCATTTCTCTCGTCCTCTGCTTTCCTCAGATTGTCACCCATTGTCTTCCCTGTCCACTCTGTGATGTTGTCCTCCCCTCTCTTTCTCTGCCTTCCTCGCTTTCTCTCTCCTTGTACGGTTCCTTGTAGGATTGTTTTGGCAAGTCCTGTGGATCTTGTGACATGTCCATACCATTTTAATTTTCTTCTCTTCACTGTGGTCAGAAGATCTTCATGCTGCCCCACTGCGTTTGTGATTCTGTTAGTGACATAAAAATAAGCCTATCCTTGGGCCCTCCCCTTAATCTGGCCCTGTTTCGAACCATCATGCTTTGCGTCTTTCTCTGTTTTGTATGCATGTTGTTGATTGCCCTTTTATGTTGCAGATAAAGAAAACAGAACTTTAAAAAAAGTATCGAAAAAAAAGTTAGGCTTCTTCTTCTTCTTTTTTTTTTTTTTTTAAGCGTCAGAAACAGCGCGACTTACTTAAAGCCTTGTAGAATGATCCGAAAGTGTGTTCTCGATGAGTTATAAATAGAACAGCCTATCTATGTGCCACCAACAATACTGTCAGTTGTTGTACTGGAGTCCGTCACGATAGTCACCATTCTTCGTCGACTGCTGCAGCAGGTAGTCATAAAGATATGCGGTTTAATACATTTGGATCAATAGACATAGGATAGGCTTAGGCATGTTGCATGGAACTTTCTCAGACAGCACACATCTATGCGATACTATTTCGGGTGGTTGGAGGGTGCCACTGCCAGGGCCTCTTTTTTTCAACTCGACTGTTTCTGTATGTCTGTCTTACCTTTCTTCTTCTTCTTCTTCTTCTTCTTCTTCTTCTTCTTCTTCTTCTTCTTCTTCTTCTTCTTCTTCTTTTTCTTCTTCTTTTTCTTCTTCTTCGAACACCAGACTGGGTGTGTGGGTGGTTGGCGGGTGCTCTGGTGTGGTTTGCACCTTCTTTCCTATCAAACATCTGTCGTCCTTATCTCTCCTCTTTTTGTGTATGTTACTCTCTTGTAACAAATCTGTTCTTCGGCACTTATATGACCTTATTGTTGTGTTGCAAGTGCTGTAAAACTCTTACTAAAACTAAAACCTAAGACTGGGTGTTCTTGAACTCGGGTTATTTTGGGCAGTTTTCAAGGTTCTCAACCCATTTTGGTCTGGTCCTATCGGAGACGGACGTTAAATTCGGAGGTTCAGCCTCTTTAACAACCTAATAGTAATTATACTAATTAGTAATTATAATTTTGAGAGAGGCTTTAAACTCATACTCTTTACTAGAACTCTTGTGATGGGTGAGCCAGACAGTGGTCTGCACGAAGAATAAAATATTTTAGATCTATAATCTATAAATATAGGCTAGGGAGAGGAGGGTGGAAGGGTTAAGGTGGAAGGGATGTGGAGGGGAGTTGTTGAGGCTAACGGGAGGGGGTATTGACCAAGAGAGGAGGGGTGAGGCTGAGAGAGAGAGAGAGGGG